ATTATATAACAACATATAACAATTTTATTTTATAGATATGTTCAAATAAATAGTATTTTTTTTATTGAAATAACTCTTAATTTGACAATTAATTTATTGATGTTAAAATCAAATACATAAAAAATGTTACATAAAATAATAAAATTGGAAAAATATATGAATGAAAGTATGACAAAATAATTACCTGGTAATTAAAAAAATGGGATTTTAATAATAAAAAAGTCCTTCTTTTGTCCACGTGGAGTGACACCTATATTTTAATTTAAAAAAATAGAATTGAATAAACATTAAAATAAGATACAAAAATCTATATTATATTATAAAGTATTTGACAAAAATTCTTAAAAACTATCTTTCATACATGAAATACTGTTTATTGATGCATATTACTTAAAATTCAAGATTACAAGTAAATTGTGCATAAATACAACTTATTAAGCTTCATGTTTGAATTCGTTTAACTAGTTGTAGATAAAAATAATCAAATATTGGATAAATTTATTATTTTAAATATAAAATTAAAAATATAATTAGGATAATTGAGTTCTAATAGGAAAACTCAGTTATTACCTTTATAAAAAATAAATTACTTCGTCATTAAACCTAAATTAAATTATAAAATAAAAAATTGAATTAAAGAAATTACACAAAGAAAGAGAACTTTTATATTTTTTAATTTTTATGATATCTTCAAATGTATATTTTATTAAGAAAAAAACATTATTATTTGTTCAAAACCATATAAATCCGTAATATAACATCACCAGAGACCAAAAAAATAAAATAAAACAATAAAATCTAAACATATCTCGCTGCATTACACGAATACCTTTCTAATACTAAAAAAACTCTTTTAATAAAATTGGCTATTTCACACAATTTCTCAAAGACATTCAATTTTCTGACAATAAAATTTGCACGAGATAAATTATGCAAAATCATTTGATGTTATTTTATTTTTCAACAAAAGTTACACAACATAGAGTAAATTACGAATCTGGTCCATGTGGTTTTAGGATGATATGAGTATGGTCCCTAAACCATAAATTTTATGATTAGGGTCCTTATGGTTTCAATTTTGTTAACGGATTGTATCCTTTGTCCTAACTTCTGTTAAAAACCTCTATTAAATTAGGAGCATTTTGGTCCTTTCTCCATTTCTTATTATTTTTCTATTAAAATATAATGTTGGATGTGTTTATATATTAATTTATATGTACGCACAATTGGAAAAATTCCCCCTATTTTGGTTATCCTTTTCGGCTAATATCAATCTTCGGACATACCATATTTTCAGCCACCACACACCAAATCAAATCTTAATCACCAAATCAAATCTTCATCTGTGTGTATGTATTGGTCGATGAAAATGTGAACCCAAGACAAAGAAATAAAGCTATTGGTCAAAATCAAAATCAAAATCAAAAATATAAAACCCAAAATAGAAACAATGGGTTTGCACTAGTGAGGAAAGAAGAAAATCTAGGTCAGGGGACTCTGGTTTCTGAAAATCTGGACCGTAGTTGTTTATGCCCTAGTGGGTTGTGGAACTTTTTCGTGCTTTCACCCCATCACCATAGGAATTTGAGTTTTTACAGATATGGACCATCAAGGGGGTTTGATACAAATGTGAAAAGGGACAATGAAGTAGATTAGGGAGGAGTGGTGTGAATCAAGTTTGAAGATCTGGAACCTCGATGTAAGGGGCAAAGGTTTAGAGTTGGTGGTGGGTTTACGACTAAGTTATTACTGAAGTGGATCATGGGAAGGGGGCAATAGGTGGTTCATCAAGAAGGGAAGAGGGAGGGGCGAGGAAGGAGATTCAACTCAAAAAGGGGAGTGTGGTAATGAGATTTCCTCTGGACTCACGTCGTAGAGGTGCAAGGTGTTCTCGTCGAAACGGATGAAATAGGAAAAGAAGGGTTATTATATATTTAATAGTAATAATATTCAATACATTATGATAAATATCTATATACATATATAATGTTAATTTATATTTTAATAAAAAAATAACAGAATGAGAAAAAAAAAACCAAAATGCTCTTGACTTAACGAAAGTTCTTAACAGAATTTAGAAAAAATGATGTGATTTGTAACAAAATTGAAACCACATAATCTTAGTCATGAATTTTGACAGAGGGACCTACTTCATAATCGATCTAAAACCTTAGGGACCCGAAATTTGTAATTTACCCTACATATATTATCATTTCCACGTCAGAAAAAGGAGGCGGCAGGTGGGTCCCAAAACTAAAAACTCTCCACCATAAAATAAATGTATAATAAAGAAACAAAAAGGACCCATATTTAATGATAATAAAGACGTAATTATGAGCAATTAATCTCTTAGATGGAAAAAGGCCACCCTTTCTTAATTAATGTATTTTGATTTATTTAGTTTACTTAAAACTTATCTCTATGTTATTAATTACAACCATATCGAATTTACAAATCCGATACATCTCTGTGAGTGAAATAACTGAGGAGGTTAGGACTTGTGGACGTAGGCTGGTTTGGTAATTTCTTGTCTTTCTAGCTAGGTAAGCAAGTAGAAGAGATAAGACCTACAGGTCTAGATTGGATTCGTAACTTTTTTGTCATCTAGCTAGGTACGCAACTGGGGGATGTGAAAATTACGAACCTGAGTTAGATCTGTAAAGGGTCGTTTACTAAACACTTACTTGGTAAGTGTTTACCGGATAAATTTCTTTATCGGATGAACATGAGAAGAGTCAAGAATCTTACCGGGTAAGAGCGATGAGAATGATGGAGAGTCTTACCCGGTAACTGAGGATAACGATTCTTACCCAAGTAAACGCTTACCCGGTAAATTCCAAATTAATTATTTTTCAGAGATAGAACATAAAATTATTTTACGATATTAGATGTATTAAATATTTCAATATCAGAAAATTTAAATAACAAATTATTGAAGTTAAATAAAATTCTTTTGTAATATCTTCATTTAATTTAGGGAAATCATTTAGAATAGTTGTTTTTAATTCTTTAAATCAATTTATAACTGCTATTCTATATAATTAATCAATAATATATAAAATTTTGTAAGTATCACTTTAACAGCTTGCAAAATTCATTTTTTATAAATGCAATATTCATAAGTAATTTTCATAGTTGGTAAAGTGCTACTTGTAAAATATTGACATAAAAATGTTACTTATACAATTTATTAAAGTTGTTAAGATTCTACTTATCTAAAATTTTCAAGTGGAGAGTAACTACTTAAGAAAATATTCCTTAAAAATTTAACATTCATAGTTACGAATGAAAGTTGTAAGTCCACGTGGCAAAACACTTGTCGCGTGGGATTCCTGTTCCTACATCACGTGGCTTTGCGCGCTGTGTTACTGTTATCCACCAACTTTTGCTTTTAGTTTTCTTTTTCTTTTTATTTATTTATTTAATATTAACAATAATTATTATTCCCGGGAAAACGCGGGGGGCAAAATCGTAAGGGTGCGTTTGGTGCGCGGACAGGACAGGACAGGACAG